ACGTGCAGCACTTTCATCCCGAGATCTTCTTTGCTTCTCTTCACCTTATTTCTATAATATTAAATTTGTTTGCCTCGTTGTTCGGCCTTTGTGAAAAACGCCAGCAGACACACATACTGCTGACCGCCGCTGCAGCCGCACTAACTGAATCCTCTCCCTCTTGTGACCTTGCCAACCCTCCACATGCTACCTCCTCCTCCTGCTGCTGCTCCTGCGAGGCTGACATGAAAAATGACGTGCAGCAGTCGCAGCCGGTCGCCAGCTCATTCTCGGCGGTGTGAACCCCTCCCTCCCGTCATAGCGCTGCTCCGCCGCCTGCTATAAATAATAGTTTTCGCGGCTTTGCGGACGGGCGGCGTGTCGGAACAGCCCCGCTGACGTCCTGGCGACCGCTTGCTGAGTAAAACGCTGCCACTTCCCACCGCAGCGAGAGATGCTCGTCGTGCAGGAGTTTCTGTCGCCGGGGTGCGAACATCGGCTGAGGAATGTCGTGCACCGGCGGCCGCCAATGTGGTGACACCGTGACACGCTGTAAGGGCTCGTGGCTCGCTGTAATTCAACATGGCAGTGCATAAATAACTCTGCAGAGGAAGCAGGGAAACAATTATGTTTGACGTACGGCTCAGCTCATCGTCGGGCATGTGGGGGACGTCTGAGGGGTTGAAGTTGGCGAAATGCATCCATTCTTGTTTGTCTTTGTTTTAGTCGGCCATCTTCTTAAGTTTAAACTAGTTTGTCTTCTGCATATCTCTCGACAAAAACACACACCTGAGCTCCTAATCAGGCACCTCTCGTCGCACTAGATAACAGCAATGAAGTCTGTACGACCATGACTGCAAAGACATTTCACTCACATGGTTCATTCTGTAGGGGAACTCCTTTGGAAAGGCGTAGGAAAACCGCGTTTTCACTGTTTGGGAGAAACACAAACATGATCATACGGCCTCTGCTGCAGGACAAACACGATTTCAAAGAGTTCTCGTCCTTTAAAACTCAGGAGAGCTGCTACTGAATTAGTGTACGATCGTTTGTCTTGATTAATCGAGACAAAAAAAGTTGGAAAATGGAGAAAAATGTTCCAAACTGATGAGTTAATGATAAGAATAGTTGCCAACTAATCAATTAACCGATCAATTAACACTCAGTACGGTCACTTACACACAGATGTTGCTGCAGAGATCAGCCTGGTGTTGGACACGACTCCAAATTCCTGGAAAGGACACAAATATTTAAGTTCAGATCAGACAAACGAACGACAACTAAAACTGCAAAAGATGCTTAAATCCATCCATCCATCATCTACACCTTAATCCTCACTAGGGTCATGGGGGGCTGGAGTCTATCCCAGCTGACTCAGGGTGAAGGCAGGTTCACCTGGACAGGTAACCAGTCTATCACAGGGCCACACTTAGAGACAGACAACCAAGCACACTCACATTCACACCTACGGACAATTTACAATCACCAATTAACCTCAGCATGTTTCTGGACTGTGGGAGGAAGCTGGAGAACCCGGAGAGAACCCACGCTGCACGGGGAGAACGTGGAGACTCTACACGGTGTCCTCACCGGCACACGACCCGGCGACCTTCTAGCTGTGAGGCGACGGTGCTAACCACCGAGCCACCTGCAGCCCAAGATGCTTAAATGAGCTGCTGAAATGTGCCGACGTTTGATTCTTACCTCGACTTTGGAAGCCAGGAAGACGCAGGTTGGAGCCATGAGCACCGGATCTATACTTTTCAGAGAATACCTGCAAACAAGAAGAGATAAATACTGAGCAGTGATTCAGCTTTACAAGAAGAAACATCAGAGATCAGTGGACAGAGACGCTCAAACCAGATGCCTACTACATGATGTAAAAGGCCTTTTTTAAATGAATGATGTCCAATATGACATTACTGACCCCTAAAACACAACATTTATCCATTTATACAGCTTAAGATCACAGGGACGGTGCGTATGAGCAGATATTTCTGTAAATGTGTCCGTTTGTGTTCTGGGCAGGTTTGTCTAGAATAATTCAATCCACTTTATCTGATGTCAATTCCTGCATTTTTTTCATATCAGTGGAAAACAAAATATCACAATCTCAGTTTTTTTCCAAATACCGGCAGCCCTCATTCTAACATCACCTAACGAGCATCACACAGACACAAGTCCTCACCGGGCATAGAAGCGTTTGAAGTAAACCGTCGCAGTCGCAATGACCTGCTGCCTCAGCTTCAGATGTTCACCCAAAGCCTGGATCACTGGAGGACACACAATCAACACAACTTCATGTAAATGACGTAAAATACAGTGAATCAGATTTAAATTAAAACAGAGAATTTTAAAAAGGCAACAACTTTAGCAGCAATTTAATTTATTTGATGTAGTCCAGAGGTGCTGAATGATCAATTAGTTGTCAACAATAAACTGTCTTAATAGTTGATGAAGCAGTTTGAGTATTTTTCTTTATGAAAATCAGAGTGTGGGTTCTAAAACAGACGTATTCTGTGTTAACTTATCAGCTAGAAGGACTTTTCTTTGTAAAGAAAATCTCAGAAATGGTCTAAAACAAATAAAATCAAAATACAAACTGTGCTTGTTTTTTTTTTTCTTTTAAAAACATCTCAAAATACAAATACAGTCGTGATTCGATGATCCGACACTAAACATAAAACCTTCTTTTATGTCGGATAGCAAGGCTGTCGGATTGTCAAGACGGAGGTCCAGATACGAGGAGGGCTTGATGCTGGAAGGCTCGTTTGTATTTATAGTTGTTATAATAACTAGTGTATTGTTAGAACACTAAGACTCGCTGGATTTCACGTCTAACGGACCGGTGCACTCGTGCACATCAGCTGACATCAAAGGTAAATAAATCTGTGGGATTGTATCTGGATAATTCCCCAAATCTTTCAGCCCCACAGACAACTTTCCATAAACAATCCCTGCTGCGATCTAACAGACAAACTAAATACCATTAGCGAAGAAGATCTGCAGCTTCCAGTACTCCTCCTCTGTGAGGAACTTCAGGTCCTTCTGTCGCTCCTTCATCAGGTCCTGTTTGTCCAGAACCCACTGCAGACTTTAACAGGAGAATCAGATCAGGTTAATTCAACTCCTCTCATCTGTCAAACTGAGCCAGCAGAGCTAGCGGGTAGCATCGCGAAGCTAACCGCCTCGGGCACTGATGTAGCCGAGGTGGTAAATATAGAAATAAAGCTCATAAAGTTACGTTTTTAAAAGCAGCCTTTATCTTAATTAAGTTTTCCTTCTGTCTTTAATTACACTGATATTCTACATCGCGGCAGTAGTTGAGGAGAAACTGTTAGCATCGATGCTAACAGACAGAGCCAGGCCTCAAAACAAAGACGACGAATCGAGAAAAAAAGCCGCAAAGCGCGACAACGTTCATGAAACCTACTAGTGAGAGCTCTGCCAGAAGTTCCCCGCCATGTCGAAGCGCCTGAGGTAGAGAAGAACACTTTAAATCGGGCTTATTCTCCCACAAAGAAGTCAAACAGCACAGGAAAGTAGTTCTGCTAAGCAAAGAAGCTGGAGTAACGGCAGAAGCGCTCCGGGGGCGGGCTCCGGAGAAAGGTTCCGGAATCTTTGTTCCGCGTCAAAACTTAATGAAACGGAGGATTTATGTCAGCTGGAAATAAACCACACTGCACAAAAATTACCTCAGCGTTAATATAAAAGCATGATTTCACTTCTGTCCTTGGTTGAGCTAATTTTGTATCATTAATGATCATTTTCATCTGCTGGCTATCGATTGGTTTGTAAAAACTCTGAATAGAGTCAGAAATGTGGGCACAGGTGCTCTGAATCAAGGCAGCTGTCAGTTTTCTGTGAATCTTTTCTGTTCATCTACATCTCAGAAGGAATAATTCAACTTCACTACATTCATCTTACAGCTTTAGTTACTTTACAAACAAAGATTTTCGAAGCAGAACATATGAAGATTTGTTTTTTTAATGATGCGTTGTTATAAATTCAACCACCCAACAGTTTACCCAAGCATAGCTGAAATAATTAATCAAATAATCAATCGAAAAGAAATCTACTTTAAGTATTCAAAGTGAAAGTGTTCAGTTCAGATAAAACTGTTACATATGATGGATTTTATTATTCATGAAATCATTTTACAGATAGCCGCTGACAGAAATGTGTATTAAGGAAACCGTTATTTTGCTTTTTTCACTATTTTATTGAATGGCAGATAACACATCTTTTACAATATGTAACCATTAGTCTGTTGTGCTGTATTTAAATCTGCAAAAAAAAACAAAAAAAAAACAGCATATGTAATTATTTTACTGATATTTGCCACTATTTTCACATTTTATTTTATTTTATTTTTTACACTGGAGGACTATTAATTTAATCATTATATCTCTCCATTGCTCGGGAACAGCCCAGAACTGCCCTCATATTTTTTTAAACCTTTAATTTTACTCACAAAATATTTCTCTGCTTTAATATAAGCGGTTGTTGTCATGGTAATATCTGACAGTAATGAATAAATGACGTCCGTCCCTCTGGCAGCATCAGGGTGACCAACAGTAGAACATTTAGACCGTTAACATACTTGTTTCCCCAAATAATGGCAAATATCTGCAGAATAAATGACACTTTGTTGATTTAAATACAGTGAAAATAGCTCAAATTTATGGTCAACTGTTGTAAAAGAATAAATTACACTTTATAAAATGACAGTTTTTATTGTGTAATATTACATAGACTTTTTTTCTGTGATTTTACTTGATAATCTGTAAAATAGCAGCAAATTTAAGAAGTCCATGTTTACACTGTATCAGTGCTTTAGTCTAATAATGTGAATACTTCATCCCTTGAGCTCCTGTTACATTACATTAACGTTTACAGGAGAACGTGTCATCATTCCTCAGCCTCCTATAGGAGCAATAAGTGACTCGGCGTGGCTTTGACAGATGTGTGTTTGGACCTCCGGGTCGGGGAGGCTCCACATTCCTGCGGGGCATCGAGGGGCAGGGCTGGGGGGGTATAAAGCCCACCGGAGGCTTCCAGAACCAGTCTGCAGCAGAACCTTCGTCATCATGAGCCGCAGTCCAGAGAGGAGGTCTTCCTACCGCAGACACTTCGAGGGGTCTCTGGCGTCTGTCTCCGGATGCCAGGTCCGGGTGTCCAGCCCGTCTCCGGCCCGCAAGGAGAACCGGCACCGGTCGGCCAGCTTCACCCGGGGCGGCGGGTCGACGGGGCGCCGGGCCTTCAGCTCCAAGTCCCGCATGACCAGGTAGGGAGTGCACCAACATGCATTTGTTATCACCTGAAGGAGACGTTAAAGGTGTCGCTCCTGCAGCAGCGTCAGTCTGGGAGCTCTGTGCTTCGGCATGTCCATGGGACTCGGACCCCAACTGGACCTGGACGCGGCCGCAGCAGAGAACCAGGCCTTCATGATGACCCGCACCAGCGAGAGGCAGGAGATGGTGGTCCTCAACGACCGCCTGGCGGCTTACATAGAAAAGGCAAGAAGCAACCTGAACACACACAGAAACAGAATAAAACTACCAGAAAAAACACCTCAAGGGTAAAAACACGGTGATATTCTGGCACCTGAAGAGCCAAAAACTAGAATAAAGTATAAATCTCATTAAAAATATGTAGTAAAATGCAGGTTTATGTGACACAAGGTGTGTTTTGGGGACTTTTTCATGTTTATTTAAGAATAGTACCATCATAAATACATATAACATGATGAAAAATGGTACTCTAACAGATTATTAATGCTCATAGAGATCATAAACTGATAAAAACACATTTATCCCACATTCCTATTATGAGAACTTGTAATTATACAGGATAGCTCTAGTAAAATAACAGAACTGATTCTTGATTTTCTGTAAATTGTCACTAATTCTGTCTATTTTACAGATATATTCGCAGCATTAAACTTGAATTTAAAAACAATAAAATCACCTAAAATAGATAAACAGGTGGATAGATAGAGGAGATCATGTGTATTTTTGGGGCTTTTTAATGTTTAAGACTATTTCCATGTGTACAAACTGATAAAAAATAACATTTATTTAACATTTTTGTTGTGAAAACTTGTAATTATTCAGACTATCTGTCATTTATCAAACAAATCACAGAACCGGTTCTTCTTATTCTAATAATTCTGAATAATTATGTGTATTTTTAGAAATATATTTACAGAATTAAACAGGAATTTAACTGTTTTATCTATTATTTAAATTAAAAAATCAACATATTTTCTTTTTACTTGGAAGAAACTGAAATTAAATGCTTATTTTTTAAATCTGTATTTGTGTGTACTAAAAAATATAGAAAAATAAACGAACATAAAGGAGAAAAATCCACAAAATGTCTTTTATTCTTCTTCTTTACAGATTACAGGTTATACATGAAAGTTGTTCTCATGTTTTTGTCTTGAAGCTTAAACTTTAACATGTCCTGATTTACACTCACAGCTCTCATTAACTCTCTAAGTTGTACCAGAACAGCAGCGTTGTGATTTTTAGGTCTACCTGTTTGTTCCTGCAGGTGAGAACTCTGGAGTCCCAGAACAAGCTGCTGGAGTCGGAGATCGAGGTGCTGAAGAACCGCCACGTCCGACCTTCAGCCCTCCGGCAGCTCTATGAGTCCCAGCTGAAGGAGCTGAGCCGAGAGGCCGAGCAGATGAGGGAGCAGAGGGTGAGGAGCTGAGGCTGGAGGCCGGGTGGGGATCGGTCCAAAGAGCTGGTCTGAGTGTTGTATCTGTGCAGGATGTGACCTCAGCAGCCAAGGAGGCGATGCTGGGTCAGCTGGAGGCGCTGAAGGCCAAATACCAGGAAGCGGTGGAGGCCAGGAGGAAGACGGAGCAGGACATCGAGGCTCTGCGTCCGGTAAGACTCGGCTCGAGTTAAGTGAAGCTTTCCAGACCGTCCAGGCCTCATGTGGCTGTTCTTCTGTCCCAGGACGTGGACAGAGCCACGTCGGCCCGCATCGCCCTGGAGAAGCAGCTGGGAAGCCTGGAGGCCGAGCTGGTCTTCCTGCAGCGGGTCCACAAGGAGGTAAAGACGAGTTCACGAGTTCGTCTGCAGGCCGAGTGTCTCCACACGCTGCTCGTTTTAACAGATAATGACTAGAACTTGTAGACGGAGGAGTGAGTGAGACCTGAAACATCAGGCTGAGAGTCATGAAGCCATCCTGCACACTGCAACATGAAAATAATTATAATCTGATTATCTATACTTTAAATATTTTGTCTTTTTTTTCAGTAGCAAAGAAATGACATCTGTAAAAATATTCTTATTGTGTGGCACAGTTCATAAATTAAATGCAACTTAAAAGAGAATAAATAAAAATAAATATGTATGATGTATAATAATAATAAAAACACAAGATAGTAAAATAAAAATAAAATGTACATTTAAAAATAATAGTGATAAAACACAACACAGAAAAAAAATGAAAGAATAAATTTAATTATGTTAAAATGCGAGACAGTAAAATAAATATGAATAAAATGAAAATATAAAAATAATAATGAAAAACACACATAACAGTGAAATAAATAAAATAAAATGAAAGAATACATTTAATTTTGATAAAACACAAGGTAGTAAAATAAAGAAAATAACAGAAATAAAAAAATAATTACGATAAAACACAAGTGTGGAAATTTTTTTAAATTAAAATAGAAAAATAATATTGATAAAACAAGAGACAGTAAAATAAATCAATAAGAGACACTGTAATAACATGAATGTAGATGGAAATATAAATTATATTCATGTAATTTTTCAGCTGTAACATTGAACCAAAACAGAAAAACTTTCATCACAACACTCACATAACTAACGGCTGTTTTCCTGCTTTATCATTAATTCTGTAGATTACGTTAAAAATCTTGCGTGTTGCACCTTTAAACCATCCACCTTATTTCTGACCTTGCTTCTGTTTGTGCTCCTCTGGAAGGAAATCGAGGAGCTGATGCAGCAGATCTTGTCCTCGGCCTCTAAAGTGGACTCGACCTTCGGCCTGCCGGACCTCTCCTCAGCTCTCAGGCAGATCCAGTCGCAGTACGACAGCATTGCTGCCAAAAACCTGCAGGTACGGTTCAGCCCATGTTTCCTCTGCACCAGAGTCTCACCTGAGCAGCTGTGATGAACGCTGTGGTGTATTCAGCTCATTGTTTATCCTCAAACATGCAAGAAGAAGCTCTCGCAGTTGCATTTAAACACTTTTTGGGGTTTATTTTGCAGGAGATGGACGTCTGGTACAGATCAAAGTTCCAGGACCTGAACGACGCCTCCACCAAACACGCTCAGAGCGTCCGCAGCGTCCGGGAGGAGATCGCCGGATACAAGAAGGACGTGGGTTTGAGTTTGGTTCAGTTCTGGTTGCTTCTGACAGCTTCTTTCGTCTAAAACACAGCTGTGACTGTTCAGATGATTCAAATAAAAAAGTAGAGCTGTCAATTGAACAAGCTAAAAAGAAAAAAATGAGCAAAAAATAAGAACAACTGTGCAAATCATACTTTAAAACATCACTCATACATCCTTTATAGAAACATCAGATCAAACTTCACCTCGACCAAATCTAAAAGCAGATTATGTTGAATTTTAGGAAGAAATCTTCCACCCAAAAGAGGAAAAATGTGACATTTTAAATGAAAAAAATCTATTTATTATTTAATCAAGAGTGCAAGCAACCCGCTGTTTTTTAAATAAATAAAAAATACTAAAAACTTACTGTTCATTTACACATAGATCTTCCTTGTTTTGTTAAATTACAGATAATTAATAAAGCTACAGAAAAAATATTAATTTACATGCTGACTGTAAACAACAGAGCAAAGAAACAGATTCTTAAATTAATTTTACTGCATTTAAATCTGCTAAAAATAGAATTATTTCACAGGTACGTGGTGTTATTTGAAAGAAAACGTATATTATATAAATTAAGGATGTAAAACAGTAAATCATTTTTAAACTGGTGTTTTATAGATTTTTCCTGTTTTGTTAAATAACAAACAATATCCCAGCAGAAAATCTGTATTTTTACAAATAGCAATTTCTTTTACTATCTAGAATTACACTATTTTTACACATTATTTATTTTATAATCCACGAAAAATGTTTTATATTTTGTTTATTTATATTTGACAATGTTTGAAAGAAAAAAAAGCATATTAAGGCTTTAAAAACATTATTTTAAAACTGTTATTTTACAGATTTCCCATTTTTATTTTTTATTAAAGTACAGATAATATAAACTCAGAGATAATTATTATTAATTTGAGGTAACTAAAGAATAAAATAAATATAATTTTATAGTTATTTCTTGGCATTTCCACTTTTTTTTTTTGTTTTATTTTTTTTTATTTTTTAAACTTTTGGACTCTTACAGGATTCCACTGTTTATCCTACAACCTGTTTTTTCTGCCAGATTTTCACAGGATGGATCTTTTTTGGTCATATAACCACGTTCTCCTTCCACACGTGTAGATCCTCAACAAAGAACGTGAGCTGGAGAGCCTGAAGACGAGGAGCGAGTATCTGGAGGCTCAGCTCCGCGACGTCGTGCTGAGACACAAGAAGGAGGAGGAGGACATACAGGTGATCCCATATCTGATGTTTGAGACGTCGTCCATGTGATCCAAACCTCCCCTGAATCAAACCAAACTGTCGTGACAGGGGCGAGTCGAGGCCATGAAGCTGGACCTGAAGGTGACCAAGGAGAAGATCGCTCTGCTGATGAGAGAATACCAGGACCTGCTGAACGTCAAGATGTCTCTGGAGCTCGAGATCACCACCTACAGGTGAGCTGCAGGCTTCATCGGGAGGCTTTTAAATCAGGCAGGAACCATAAAGTTTGTGTTTTCCAGGAAGCTGATTGAAGGAGAGGACAGCCGTCTGAGCGTCGTGGTCCACCACCTTCCTGTGACCGGAGGCCTGCGTCTCACGTCCAGCGTCAGCGCCGCCTCGGCTTCGGCCTCAGCTCTGGTTTCAGCTTCAGGAAGCTCAGGTCCAAAGCTGGATGCATCTCCGTGTGACAGGAGCAGCACCGGGGCCGGTAGAGCTCCGGGTCGAGTGTCGGTGGCCTCGACGGACACCCAGACGGACGTAGAGCTGCAGGCGACAGAGAAGATCGAGAGGAAGACGCTCCTCATCAGGTAGACGTTGTTATATGAACCAATATGACCGAGGGGAGTTTATCTTCTCCTAATGAGCCACAAACTTCCCTGAAAACAGGATTTATAACATATCTGGGGGTCAGTTTTTGCCATCAGTTCTATTGTTCTGTGTCTCTATCATCGAAAATCAGGTTGTATTAGACTGATATCGGTGTGATACATTCACTTCAATACAGACACAGTAACGTCTGTCCTTCCTCTCCTGGTTTTTCCTCCACTTCCTCCCAGAACAGTTAAGACAGACGAGAACACTTACGAGAGCGACACCCAGGAACGGACCTTCACCATTTCTGGAGCCGCCGCCGACACCGACGAAGAATAAAACGAAACTCCTAAATACTGTCTTCAGTCCAACAGAGACGCACGATGATGGATTTTTGCAGATATCTGATAAGTTTCCAGCTAGTTGAGACAGATACTGACACATGCATATATAGTTTTCCACCTAAATGCAGAAAACATCTCTTGTAGTGGATTTAACATTTTATTATTCCTAAAACAAACAATGCTACGCTATGCTAACGCAGTGCTATCACCCACAGCATAGACGTTATCACAGAAATACGCAAATATGGGCCAGAAAGAACCATTTACCTCATATGTAGGTGCAGCAAACTGCACCTAAAGCAAAGAAATGGATGGAAAACATTCTCTGTACCTACAGGATCACATGCAAAAATTATACGGCATGTTTAAATATGTGCACTTTTCTCGATATCTGATATTTTCAAATCGATTGTGGCCCCTTAAGCACAGATTTCTCAAACTGTGGACAACATGAGGCCTCTCCTATAGTAGGATTAACATTAAAGCTGCATAATTACCAACTATTTGGACAATAAATTAATCATTTTAAAGATTAAAAAAAAAGAAAACAGTTGAAATTGTGTGATCGCAGCTTCTTAAATGTAAATATTTTCTGGTTTCTTTCCTCCTCTGTGACAGTAAACTGAACATCTTTGGACAAAACGAGACATTTGAGGAAACATCGAGTCATATTTATCACCATTTTGTGACATTTTAGAACCCCAATAGGCTTAAAAAACAGCATGTTATTATTCCTACAGACATAAAATACAGTGTTTTTCCATCTTAGCAGCCTGCTAATGTTAATTTTAGGCCAATACTAATGGTTAGCTTTACAGCATTTATCCACATATGCAGATGACGCACCGCTATCTTGTTGCATCTCTACTGTTAATCTGTTTAAAGGAAAAACAAACTAAAGATAATTTCAGACTTAAACATCACGCGTCCACTGCTTATTTAATCCTCCTGTGTGTCCGTAAAATGTGTTTGAATTTAACTAAATAAACACCAAGCAAGCATCGTTGTGTTTTTTCATTTTTCCATGATTTATTTCTTTTTTGAACCGACACGTAAATTTTTGACATTACCGTTTCGAAAAGCAAAAAAAATCATTTACAGTAACTGTTAAAAAAGGTTTGATTTCGTAGGAAGTTTCATTATAGTGTACCAAAAAGAGAACTGAAGCCCTCATTAACACCTTTTTCTATATATGCAGCATCGTAGCTCACAGTAGAAATATAACGGATTCATTATCTCCCAGTTCGTCACAAATCATTACAGTCCCAGAGAAGTAAACGGGAGTCAATTATGAAGTGCATAGAGCATTACAAAGTACCTTGGCACCGCCCAGCTTTTAGAAAAACGAGCTTGGGATTGTGTTCAAAGAGCACCGTTTGTTTCGTTACCGTCGTGACATTGTGCTTCTAGTGCAGTGGTTTGGGTTCGTCGCCAACTCCTCCGGCGAGTCGATAAACCGCCAGGCTGACCTCGTGAGCCAGAGAGTCGGCGCTCTCCTGAAAGAAAAAAAACCAACAGAGGATCACAACACGTCCACAGCTGTTTCTGCACAGACAAACCGACATGTCCGAACGCCGGCGAGGAGTTGTTATTGAGTCATTGAAGCTCGCTCGGTTTTACTCCCATAGATTATTCAACATGATTTTCAGCACCTAACTAATCCCACAGCTTTGAGAAAACCCACATATTTATATCTCAAAAGATGCAGCTCAATCCAGAATGGCATGCTTTGTCTTTTCATGGCGCCGTTTTTGCGAAATTCGTACAAAAGCTGCGTTTGAAACCCCCATTAAAATGAATGGCAAAGCTACGGTAACCCTTACCTTTGTAACGCTGTAGCTCCGGCATAGTTTACAGAAGAAACTTCATTAAAATTTTAAACGGGTCACAAAACTTGAAATGTTATTCGTCTTAAGCCGTGTTTTTATGTCTTTTATGATTTTTATACAGTTCAAGTTTGATTAGTTTTTGTAAAATTCAGATTTTTCGTCAAACTTTGACCAGAACAACAGCGCAATCAAACCTCGTCTCCTTCTCACAATTTATCCTCTGCATGAACAATTTATACATAAAAATATAGACATTTCTGTCTTCTTCTATCCAGTGTGAGTCTCGTTACTATATGACTTGTGTTTTTTGTCATAAATACCAACAGAGCTCAGACTGTGACATCTAAAACTCCCACTGACTCCCATTATACCGATGTGCTAAAACATTGGGTGAAAATCAGAAACGTTGAGCATCTCCAACCAAATCTGTACAACACACAGCACGGATATGAAAATACATCAGCGAGTTCAAAACAAGATTGTGCTTCACGTGGTGAAAGAATTTCTTTGATACGACTTATAGTTTTTGAGCTGTGAGCGTTCATTCGAGGGTCTAATCCTCAGTCTGCCTGTCTTCTCACCCCATGTTGTACTTTCTTCTTCATATTTCATTGAACATAAAAGCCACTTTCACATGAGTTCTAGGTGACATCTTGAAGACACTTGACTCTGATTTGACTCTACGTAGCAGGCACAGACGCTGACACATAAAAACCCTCCAGCTGTTGCCAACATCTTAGTCTTACTCTACAGCTTCATTCCACTTTTTTTATTCTACAAAATCTTCTCACCTGCGTCTCCGCCTCGGCGTAAACTCTCACCACGTCCTCGGTGCCGGACGGCCTGACGAAGGATCGAGCTTGTCTGTACTTCTTCACCAAAGAGTCGATGGCGTCCTGCAGACCTGCCGGACTCACCGCTCGCCTCTCGGCATCTGCCGTGTCGATCACCCGGCGGTCGGACACCTGCAGCGAGAAAAAAAGAAGAAGGAGCTCAAGAACAGATACCGGATGTGCAACATACATCGATAAGCCACAGCATCAAATCTGGCTGCCTTACATTGTGTACTATATAATTACATCGTGGGACGTCAGCAGAACAACCTTTAGGTCCCGGACGTTTTAAGGTGGAGCCTCCATAAGATTGTTTTTCCCTGAAAATTCTAAAAATGCTTGTTTGGATTGAGATCTTGGGAATCTAGAGGCCGAGTCGATACCTTAAACTTTATATTTGGTTCCTCAAATCAGCCTTGCATAAAGCATTAACCTGCTGAGAGAGGATATTAGGGAATACTGCTGCCATGAAGGGGTGAACTTGGTTTGCAGTGATGTTTGGTGTGACAGTAACATCTACCATCCTTAATGTTGTCCCTTTGTTCTCATAATGCATCCTGCTGATGTCTCTTTTTGGGTAAATACCGTACGATATGATGTGCTTTTAGGCGTCACACAGTGAGGACATTTGCACTGTTGCAGCAGCAAAGAGGACAGAGCAAACATTTAAGAAAAATCAGTAGAAAAATTAAACTACACCAATAATATAAATGTGTACTAGTTCACATCGTCCAAATCCCCCTGGATGGAAATACATGTTAATGGTATTGCACAGATACTATAATGAGGAGAAATACTGACAGAAAAGTATTAATTCTGCACACATTTATCTATCTAGATTCTTGTATATGCAGAAAAAAGTCTATTGCACAGGGTTTCTGAATGTACAAAATAATCCTAATTCTCAGCTGTGAGTGTGTTGATGCTGCACCAAACATGAAGCATGACGACCCCGCCCTCTACATCTGATTATTTAACTTTGTTTTGCATTAATGTTTATGCACCTTGACTTTCAGCTGCCGGTTGGGCAGGTCGCTGTAGATGGAGTCCCACTGCTGCACCGTCATCCCTTTGATGGCGAGTATGGCCTCGATCAGCAGCATGTCAGAGATGGCGTCTCCGACAGTCTGTAAAGGAGAAAGAGAAGCAGAAACATAAATGGACGTCTCTGTGTGTGATGTCAGTCAGAAGTAATTTTGATTTACATGGATTTTCAGTGACGTTTCTTCAGGTGTGTTGGGAGTCGCAGTGTGTTCTCCTCGCTAAACAAAGCTTACAGCAAATGCAGATTATTGCATTTAATGGTTCTGATCAAGAAAGTCAGGCACCCAAACGTGGCTTTAACCAGCTTGTGTACTTGTGCACAGCTGGAGTCCCCAAAAGTGACATTAAAATTCCCAGGTCCCCAATCCAAAGGGCAAAACTCTGCATGCAAGTTGTTTGAAACTAAAATCTTGGGGCACCATTACAGCTCACCTGGTCGAGCTGGCGTCCCATGTAAAGGGGCTAAAGTCTCTGACGCAGCAGTCATGGGTTCGAGTCCCGCTCAAGACCCTTTGCTGCAGGTCCGTCCCCCATTCTCCTCCCCCACTTTCCTGTCCTATCTAATAAAGCCAAAAAAGGTCAAAAAATATCTTTAAAAAAAACTAAAATCTCACCTGATTTCATCATTTGGGCTTCTGGTAACAGATCTGCCTGTCAGTGTCCCTCCAAACCATTTAGAAAGACCTCAGAGGTGAGGTGTTGAAATACGCATCCCCCAAAATGACTGAAGTTTGTGAAAGTGTGTGTCTTTGTGTGAGCGTTTACCTGGTTGATGACGTCGACGGTGTTCTGCAGCAGTCGAGCCGCTCGCTTCCTCTCGTCGTTGATGCCGGCGTCCTCGGCGAGCTGCTGGATTTTCTCCTCGGCTGCTTTACTGAACAGCACCTGAACGCAACACGAACACGCCGTGACGCACCAATCACATCACTTCTACTGTCCGACACCAGGCGTGAAACCACAGCACTGACAGAAAAGTTAACGTTAGTTAGTCCACTCACGGTTCCGTGTCCGTTGGCCTCGAAGTAAACCCCGACGTCAAACTCCTGCGCCGCGTGATGGAGATGCTTCACGCCGGTCTTCGTGCACCTCACTAGAACCTGAGTCACATCAGAATCCGTCAGAACTAACCCCTCTGCATGAGTATAGCAGCAACAGGGCTGCTCTCTGTGTGTTTTCTCACCTTCATCGTGTCCTCCAGGTAGCGCGTCGAGCTTCCGTTAGCGTAAGCAGTTTGCACCACCGCTATCTTCAAGTCTAGACCAGCCTGTGGGTCCAAAAGAACTGTTTAGTGTCCCCGTATTTGTTGTTGACATGGTTGTAGTGT